AAATTGTATTCGTAACATTAAAACAAACGTCATGATACAATGTGAACGACAGTTACAAAGTGTGGTTTAAGTTCAGGGAGAATGGTAAATGTGACAACGGATTACAGACACTACAATTTGCCACAACAAGGCACATGATCCTGCTCCCTAGCCTACCGATGTTCGTTTCTTCGAAACAGTCTGTCAAATAACAGTTTTTACGTAAAGATGTAGCATTTTGCCCTAGGTATGCTGAGACCAGAACACACCATAACTTAGGTTAGATTTGTTCGAATCGGTTCAACTTAATCTCCTCTCCCTTCTTACAATTTGGCGCACATTTCAGTTTAAAAGCTGTAGTGCTATGGTTCCGCCGGGCCTTCGACGAACAGTGTTTTCTCCGTAGAACATTCATGAGTGAAATATAAACTTCCACGCCCAAATGCTGCATTTTGGTGCATATATGCCCAGACCGAAAATCCCTCCAGTATACTGTCATTATTTCGCGATTGTTTAAAAATTAATCTCCATGAATTTCAAGTGAGCATTCAGCTTTGAAATTTGTGTGCTGGAACTTCATGTGTGGCTTCACACATGCTCATTGTGAAATTGAAGGCTTTATCCTTTTTATCTTTCACGGCGTTCTAACAGGTATTAAATCTATAAAAGAAGGATAACAATGTGATATTAGTGCGTTCATCCAGTAATCTAAGCAACAACGCTATTTTACTCTAAGAATGGGTATGCTACAAATGCAGCGGGCGGACTGCAAGACAAATGAATGTTCAAGGAACCCGACAACTAGTAAGCTGAGCGCGTTTCCTAATGAAATACAGTACGCGAAGCACCGACTGCCCAGTGCGGTTTTGTTTAGGGAGGCAGGGGAACCACCTTGGAGTCAACTCTTATTATTTTGAAAACAACCATATGGTTTCTCAGTTATAATCGTTCCGTTCCTCGATTAACAGACAGCTAACCGAAGAAAAGTTGGAAACTTTCAGGGCCCTGCTGAACTATGTGTGGTGCTTTGTACATTTATTTTGCTTCCATTTCAACATTACTACTGAATTAACCGTTTTTTACTTGAAAGCAAAAAAGCTAGCACTTGCACCACTTTGCGCAACACAAACGCAGTCACGTGCTTCGACGCTATCTTCTGATTTCTCCCGCACGTATAGCGATCATTCGTGTGTTTCATGTGATAACCCTGGCATCAAAACATCCCAGACTACCCCTGGAAACTATTATGTGCAAGAATTGTTCAGAAGAAGACTCCTGGACAACCATGATTGGACTACTGTTTATTCGCTGACTTGGACAGACGACGAACTATTTTCGAGAGAACAAATATTAGTGAGTCTGTTCCATGCGAACTCTTCATTAATGTATACTGGAACCAGCGTTATTATCTTTAATTCTTTACCACACATTGCTGGTAGAGTAACTTATTGATTAGCCAGACCACTACATATGAAATGCCGTCATGTGAATAGTGGCAAATTGTGGCCAATCAATTCCGCAAGATACTTACAAATCAGGATACATGCAACTATCGCCGAAAGTCTCGACCACCCCGTGGAGTCGACGCCGAATAGTTCGGTTTTCTTGTGGAGTTCCAATGCCAGTGCCCTCCAAACGGATATAGACGCTGCCAAGCAGTGGTCTTTGGACTGGCACTTTCGCCTGAACGACGAAAATTGCGTCCATAGGTCATTTGGAGGAGAATCAGCAAATGCCTTTGTCATGTATGGTTATAACAGACCAGAAAACATCATGAGGATAGATGCCAAAATGGATTTGGGCATCTAAGTCTCCTCAAATTTGTCCTTCTCACTGCACCATGAGAAATCGGCCCGAAAGCATTCGGCATTTTACGGATGGTGCGATGCACCTTCGCCAGTATTACTGGCATGGACTTCCAAACGCTCTATGGGGCCTACGTCAGACCGCTCCTGGAGAACGCCAACCAAGTTGTCTACTCGGGATGCACGAAAGACGTCACCCTCAGTGAGCGTGTCCAGTGAGCCGCCACGAGAATGGCTACCGGCCTCAAATCCGTGGACCACGAAACGCGTCTGGCGACGCTTGATCTCTTTCCGCTGGAGTACCGTCGCCTCCGAGGGGACCTAATTCTTACTTACGCCCTGTATGAACAAAGCGTGGCAAACAGATTTTTACAGTTTACCCAGCAAATACCCGGCGGGGGCATAGTAAGAAAATTTTCAAGCTCAGAGCACACACATTCACTAGATAAAATTTTTTCTCATTTCGGGTAGTAGCTGCGTGGAATGACCTTCCTTCGGAGGTTGATCACGCTCCTTCTAGAACCCAGTTTAAAGCACTATTAGACATTTATTTATGTGGATCCTCGCGCTGGCAACTACACGGTTCCGCGCTGAGAACATAACGAGCCGTGCTACGCCCTTTTTTCACTTGTGCCTTTCAGGTGAACGACAGCCACTGACCGACAATAACAAAAGCGAGCCGTGAAACTTGGGCAAACGAATCTCGTAAGACTCGGGGGTCTGGAGCAGCAGGACGTGTGGTAACCCATTAAATGCTTTTGGGGTGTCGAAAAATATGGCATCCAATATGAGTCCCTCTTCCTTGGTTTGGGTTAAGCTATCCATAAGCACGCGCATGTTTGTCACGCAAGAGCGGTGTGGGAGAAATCCGTGTTGATCTGGAGATATCAGGTTGCTGGAGCTAAGGTGATCTAGGATAGGTCGCTTCAGAATGCGTTCCATCACGTTGCTTATATGACTGTGGCTGCCAGGCGATAGTCGGTCACCAGTTTTGTAGATTGGCGTGACAAACGAGTAGAGGGAAAGCGGTCTTCGTCAAGTGACAGAGCAGTGCTGCACCTTTTTTCACCTGTGTATTTCATCTGCACTACGGTCACTGACCAACCGCCCCGGGAAACTTGGGAAAAAGCCTCGATCCGGTGTATCAAATCCTGAATCTGTGAATCGGTGAATGAGCTTATTTTGAAGGTCATACAAGGTTACAATTGTTTATGCGCCTGGTTTGATTGGTTTCCTGCCGAGGCGTTTCTGCCGGGCCTGAGGCTTGAGTTTCGCTCCGGTTTCCACAAACTGGCAAGTAACATGTTGCACTCAACTTTTTAGTTCTAGTTTTTTTAGCTTTTTTAGTTCTGTACTTGGCTAGCTTGCGGCAAAAAGCTGAGTTGTCTGTAGTAACCGAAATATTCTCCAGGGTCCGCAGTGTTTAATGGCCTTCTAGTGCCAAGGTACTGATGACGGAGATTGAAGAAACTGCCGGCGAACAGAGTTGTAGCACACAGTCTAGTTTTGCCCCTTAGACAGCCAAATGCAGCGTACATGGAACCTATCTCCTGACTAATAACTATGCTTGAGGTTCGCTCCGATTTCCACATATTGGTAAGCAACGTGTTGCATTCAACATTTCAGTTTCCGAACGTCTCGTAGCTCATTTGTTTATTTGTTTCGACGCTCTAATCAGCCCGTTTTCCAACTACAAATATACAGGGTTGAAAATGTACAGAGCATGTTCTGGGACTAACTGCAGTTGGTCTCCTCTTGTTGGTTGTGAGATGCGCGAGCTGTGCAGCATAAGCAGCGTTGTGAAATAAGGTGGCTGGGTGATGCAACTTTTCATAAACCAACATTTCCGTTCTATTGATGGGCTACAATGTACATACATAAATCAAACGTTCCACGCTTGGTGTCAGCCCTTGAATTAATGAGAGCGCTATTCGAACTGTAGTATTTACGCGGTAGTCCGCAGCCAGGAGTCATCTTAGTATCCTCAGCAGCGTCAGTATTTGCAATAGCTGTGGCCTCTTGCATATACTCTGTTCGAGACAGTGATGGCTACAAGTCTTTGACTCACTAATTAGGTAATTTTCATCCTCAATCAGTGTAACAACAGAATGTATCGCGGCCAACGGTTCAACCACAGCTTATACCGAAAATTAGTGGTAGAACCTGGAGTAAGAGTGTGATACAAATAGGCCCCCAACCCACGACAATATGGAAGTGGGTACAGGGAGCACGGAATGAAATGGAAGGAAGTCACTCGTCATATGTAAAGCTGAAATTGTACCGGGGATGTATGGCAGAACAAGAATGGATATAGAAGATGTTATCAGGAAAGACCGAAAATAGGGACGCACTTTATTAGTTGGCCCACTTGTGGTTGAAGGTGTGTACTGAGTGTTCAAATGGGAAAGTGAAGAACAATCACAGTGGAAACGAATCTAGCCATCAGTTTCGAGCGAAAAAGTGGTTTCATAGAGTGTGATGTGATCCATTTTGCACTATTGGGACTCTGGAAGTGAGAAAACAAAAAACGATTGCGTAATGGGAAGCTACAAATCAATAATATAGTTAGGTCAAAGCAGGTTTTCTGGAATATATGAACTGGTTAATGGTAAGTCATCATGGATGCGGAGCCTTTGCGAAGATCCTGGCGCTAGTCGCGTGCATTATACCAACGTTGTCAGTAGATCTTGCCTGTGCGAGCTCTATTCCCACGGCAGTTTTTCTGGATGTCACACAGAAGACGATATTTGATGGGACCGCTGGGCCAGGTGATGATAGGCTGTGGGTGTAATCCGGAGTGTCTTAGCGTTCGGGCCAACTGTTGGAGTTCATGAGTAATCTTATCACAAGAATGCTGATTTAGGTGGAACGCAAAGGCCTCCTTTGTTCATTGATGAACAACCACTACGTTCTGCAATTCGCTCGGTAGGTCTGGTCCCCGGAGATTGGTATATTAGTTGTATGTTTTCC